TTTAGCAGTGTGTAGGTATAGGGATAACACGTCTAGGAAGCTGACTTTCTTTTAGGTCTTGAAAGGCAGCTCTGGGCCTTCAAATGTCCTGATTGCCAGGCAAGTTCTTATGTCTAGCCGAGGAAGATGGTTGTTCCTTGTTATCATCATTAACTCCAGCCACTCATGCTTTTCCCTAAAGCAAATTATACCTCTCATATTTAAGCTTGCTGTTGGCATTCCCTGCTAACTAGCTTTGGGTTCAAGGCTATGCAGTGTTTTTTTGACCACCCGGAATGTATTTGGGTTTTATGCCATTCCCCTTTCGAGATAGTCCCTCTTCCTGGGACCCCAAGGTATCCATCCTTCAATTAGTGAGACTTTTTTTGAATGTGAGTAACTGACTTTTTCTTCTGTCCCTCTACAGAAGCTACTTTTTGGTTGTATATTCCACCAGGAGAATAGGATAAATGCAGGGTTATGGGATTTGCCCCTTGTTCATCATTTTACATGGAGTTACCCTGGGAAAAGGGCTTAGAGTGCCTTCCATTTTGCTGCTAGTTTTGGTTTTGTTTGTTTCTTCTTACTCAAACATAATTCAGCTCCTAGTGAAATCACAGTTTTCTGCAGATCCAGTGAAGGCATTGCCATTTTTCTTCTGTCCGAATAGCTGAGGCTTCCCTGAGAGCTTCCCTAGGGCTTTTTTTTTCCCTCCAGCTATCGTGTGATTAGACTTTAGGTTGTATAAACACGTTGCTAGGCGGGAAAAAAGATCTTCTAGATACTCTTGGAAGTCATTGCTACAGAGTTTGAACAATGTCCCTGCCCCATGTGGGTAACTTCACAATTCCCAGGCTAAGCTGGGCCGCTATGTAGCACTTTGTTTCTGTATGTTTCCCTCCCCCTCCATAGAGGATCAGTGTGACATGGACACTGCACATTGACCGTTTAAGACAGCTTGACGTAGGAAGGTGAACTTCTAGTTAAAGAGTGAATGTGCAGGTTCCCTCTGTAGGAATAGCTCCTTAAAGTATCTAGATTGTCTGGACAATCTATCATAGTTATTTTTATGGCCATGCCTAAGATGAATGACTGCTCTTTTGCCCGCTGACGTTGATTCTGGATGACAGCTGCACTCGGCTTCATTGATAGGCACGATGGAATAAAAATTACTCCGTTGTGTCCCTGTGTGGACTGACTTTCAGTGCTAATAGAAGTAGAGATTCAGGGAAGAGAAGAGGGCAAATTGTTTCTCTCTGAAGCTACAGGTGTGACAGAACAAACATCTGTATACATGTTAAATAAGCCAAATACTTGAGTTAGTTGTAGTTGAGGGTTCCTCATATACTTGGGGCTAGACGTGTGCCTAAGTGTTAGGCATTGCTGTTCTGAATATAGAATCATAGAATGGTTAGGGTTGAAAGGGACCTCAAAGATCATCTAGTTCCAACCCCCCTGCCATGGGCAGGGAAACCCTGCACTACACCAGGTTGCCCAGCACCTCATCCAACCTGGCCTTGAACACTTCCAGGGATGGGGCATCTACAACTTCTCTTACTCTATCTAATATCACGATGTTCTGCAGTGGAACTACAGCCCTAACATACAGGAATCCCTCACTTGGTCCATTTCTTCACAGAGACTTTTAAAGGCATTTGCTAGAGGGAGAATTGTAGTGACTGATGTGAGTCAGTCCCCCAGCCAGCTGGCAGCAAGTCGTGTTTTAGAGACTAGGCCTTTCTGAGCTGGGAACAAAATGATCCATCTGCTCACCCTACTGTGGGTGTATTTGCATTCAGAATAAGGAAAACTGAAAAATGTGCTTATCCTAGGCTCTAGGCACCTTTTGGCAGTTACTCTAATAACACAGTTTAGAGTGATAATCAAAGCCAGCAGTTTTTATCACAGAATTTTCTAACTCCAACAGCAGAAATTAAAACAAACAAAATACCATTGTGTTCACAAGGAGGTGGTGTGGAAGAAGACATCTCATTTAACACTCACTTTTCCCAATTCTAGGTAACAAAAAGCTAAGTTTTTTAACAAACTCTGAATTTATGGAGATTGGAAGAGTTAAATTGTGTGTGCTTCATCTAATATCCTGGAGGAAGCCCCATTCTTATATACAAGGGACTGATGGCTGCTGTCTAGATGAGCAGGTTTTGATGACAAGGTGCATTTACATTTTTCAGCAAATGTTTAGAGTCTGTCAAGGAAGATTTTTTTTTTTTTTTCCTTGCAATTGGCTACCATGGAGCTTGGTCCATTGTTTACTGAAATCAGTTCAGCTTCTCCCAAGTAACTTCACCTTCCATCCACTTCTCAGCTGAGAATATTGGCTTGTAATTTTTAGAGGTCATTCAAGGATAAGAGTGTGTGGGTATTACTTGTCTATTTATAGTGTCTTTCTGATATTCATTTGCCTCCTCCAGGATCCTCAGCATTAAAACTTTGCTATTTTTGAAAGAAAATCTATTGATGGCATTGTATGTTTAAAGAGCATCCATGACAACGTTCTGCTGGGTCACTCTATTTGTTACATGCAGGTCCCAGTGAACACCGTATCTGATGGGTGCAGCGGTGCTGCATGTCTGTGTCCAGCCAGATCCGCGAGCCTGTTTAAGCTTGTCTTCTAGCTGTCAGTCTTTTTCTTTCTTTTTTGTAGTATAAAATAACAAAAATAGGTTATACTGACACCCTCCTCCAGTGAAGTCTAAAACATACGCTTGTCCCCCTCCACACAGGAAGGGGATAGTTGTATAGGCTCCATGGGAAAACTTGCAGGAGCTTATGTGTGCTCCGCTAGATTTGCTGATAAATGGGCAGTCTCAAACTCCAGTGTAGTCACTATAGTTCCTTTGGGAAACAGAGGTGGTAAGAAGTTGTCGAGCATGTTAACTGTTCTGCAGACAGCAGCTTTCATTTGGCAACAGCGTTTTACAGAGAGGAAGTGGAAATGCTTTCTGGTGCTAATATCTGATACAATCCATCCAACTGTGTAATTTGTATGATCTTAAATAGAAGATCTAGCTCTTGAAAAGTTATCTGGCGTTTACTTTGCAGGTTATGCCCACTGGAAGGGTCAGGTGTTAAATTCAGATGAACTTCATGAACTGTACGAAGGACTTAAGCTGAACAAGGTCAACCGATACGATTATGTACTCACAGGTAAGAAGACCTTGTTCCTTGGAATTCCCATGAGATGTAAACAAAAGTAAAGAAATATAAACCGTGTCCCTCTGTATTACCAACCAAGCAATTACATTTTCCCTCCTTTGATTCCTCCTGCAGTCTCATCTGTGTATTATAGTCTCAACTGCTCATGCTGTTTAGTTGGAAACAGCCAGTGTTCTCCAGCCTGAAAGTTGTAATAGAGTGGGTAAATTGATCCACTTGTAAAATTTACAGACTTGTACAAGCCATTCATGTACAGGCTGAATTAATGTTTTGGGAGTGCCTGTACTGAAAAAAGGATGAGGAATGTCAGAGTATTCTGTGTGCAGTTTTTATTAAAAGCCAATTCTCGTTCAATTCCTGCTTCTCAAATGTAGATTACTGATCAGGTTTCACCTCAGTAAGACTATGCATCTGGTTTAGACTACAGTATTGATTTTTTTGTAACAGTGAACAGTCACTTTTCAAAGGTAAACAGAAATATGTTGTCAGATTTTATTGATTTCATCGATTTCATCACTTCCACATGTAGGAAAGTGCTTTATACACAGAGAAAACTGGAGACTTTAAGTGTATGGATTATAACCTCAAAGCACTCGTTCTGGCTTGAAATCTGTGGCGTGTCTGAAGAGTTTTTGTCAGTTCTTTTTCAGGGAATATCTCCAAAGTAAAGGAGACGTAACTAGAAAATAGACTGAACTAAGGTTAAGAAATTCATTTCAGCATAAATGGGTTCTTTGTGATTGAGAAATAGACAAAAGACCTTTTCTGTCTTTGAAAGAACTCACACAGAGGACATTTCCAGGAAAATCACACTGTATTGTAGTTTTCAGGAGATGTTAGTATGCAATATTTGTAAATAACGTTTGAGTATACTTTTAGCTGAAATGTTACTTTTTTATTTTACTTTCAATTCTTGGGAAAGGCTCCAGGTCCTTTCCTATCACTGTCTTGTACTGGCAAAACAGATTTAAGGGATGAAAAATGGTAGAAGGAAAAATAGAAACCTTCAGCAAAAAGAAATGATGGAGAAAAAAAAAAAAGATTTATTAATATGCCTTTTAAAATAGGATTTGTGGGTGGATGGGTCAATGTGTTGTTCATTTTTGTTTAAAAATCTCGTTTGGTGTAGCCATTTTCAATATGGACAAAAAGAAGACATGGGTAGAAATGGCACCAGTTTCTTAAGATCTAATAACACGCTCAGTGTTTAGTGTTCAGTTGTGCTGTGGCTGAACTTAAAATTCAAGGTTTTTTATTCAGGGCCAAAAAACAGATTTTTCTTTTCAAACAGGAACAGCCATTCACTATAGTGCCCAACTGTACTTTGTACCTCCAACAACCTGGATATGATTATTCAAACACTGAAAACAAATTAATTTGTCAGCATATGGGATTTGACTGTAATTGTGTGTCTGGTGACTGTAGATATCTTGGCTGAGATGGAAATTATTATCTTTAGGCTGATCATACAAAATAACACTTCATTAACTTTTGTGACTTAATTACTTGTAGATCTTCATATATTTGTTTCATTTACAGTAAATACCCAAGGTAAGAGGTAACCTCCAATTCAGTGTAATTTTTTTGCACCTCTGTCAATAATGTTAATCATACTCTGTATTTTTTTTCAGCCAGTCTACCATCACAGGTCATTTTAAACAAAAATCTTTATTTGGCTTTTTGACTGATTATCAGCATTTCATAGACATAAGTCAAAGCATTTTGGCCAAAAATCTTGGAAGCTTTTTCCACTTCTCTGCAACATCTAAGAACTGATCAATTTTGTGCGTTAAAAAAGAAAAAAAATCTCCGACATGTATTTTTAAATTTTTTAGTAGAGTGGACATTTCCAAGCTGAAGGTTTGAAGAAGCTACTTTGCTAAAAATACTATTAAATGAACTAAAATCAATGAAAATCAAATTATTAATTAATAAATATCATAAATAAAGTTAACACATAAATACATAAAGAAACATCTTTAAAGAAATTAATGATTAAATAAGAATATTGTGGTGCTAGCATTGTGATTAGGGCCTTGAGATATAATCAAACTCACGTCTAGCTTATTTCCCTGCTAAGCCTAAAAATAGGAATTTTGTTGGTATATTGGCCATTGCTCTGAAACATTAGAGATTAATTCTCCATTGCATTAATGTTTTGGACTATATCAGCACCAGCATTAATAATAATAAAAAAACCTGCTTCAAACCAGAGTACGAGAAAAGTATATGGAATTTAAAATATTTCTTATTTACTACATGATAACTAGTGCTGATTCAGACTGCTGTTTCGAAGGAAAGGAATGTTTTTTCCTTTCAGTCTGACCTTTTTGTATATATGTTCAAGCATTTTGAAATTGTATGAGCCCTTCATATATAACATAGTAAGTGGATTTTTAAGGTTATATTTGTAGTTGTGCAAGCACTGTCCGGATTTGTCTTCCACCTATTCCTGAATGAAATACTGAAATGCCTTTGTTCTAAAAATGCGTTGTTTCAAAGAATTAGAAGGATGCAGCATTCCTATCCAAAATAAATTAAAAAAAAAAGTGTTCATGAAAATAGACTTCAAAGTGTCTTTTTTTTCCCAAAGGGTATACAAGAGACACATCATTTCTTGCAATGGTGGTGGATATTGTCCAGGAGTTGAAGCAGCAGAATTCTAACCTAGTATATGGTAAGGGTGTGTATTATAATCCCTTCTGCTTCATCATTGTGTATGCCCATCATTTTCACGTTTTAGGATGAAAACACTGTTCTGATGTTACCCAGCATTTCATAACCATCTTGTGCTCTGATCTGGCTGGGACCAGCTGAGGCTCCAGTGAAGTTTTGTTTCAGCATTGCTTAAGCATTGAGGGAGCTGGTTTTTTATCTTTCTGCTTTTATGCCTTTCAGTATGTTTCTTGCGTTTACCATCCAAAGGAGAATGTGCCTTGGGGCCTGATTGTCGGTATCAGAGGAAGGCTTGTAAAATCCTAGCCGGCTGCTGCTGTTCTAGTTCAGAGGCATAGGCTGTAAGAGCTGATAGCTGAAGCCTCTCCTTGATTTCCAAGTCAGTCAAAAGCTGCAGAGACTCTCTTGTGTTGCCCTGCCATGCTTTCATGTTACATCCTAGAAGTGTCTCACTGTGCCTTTTAAGCTTCATAAATTAGCTTAAACTCCAAGACTTTTTTTCAGCTCTGGCGCCCTCTGCTTAAATTACCTAGGAGCGCTCAAAGAGTGACAGACTAGCAACTGCTGTCATTAACATGCCACATCAGGCTTAAACCGTGAGAAAAGATTCTCCTCTTTCCTTCCTGACTTCTCTGTTGAACATAACCAGTGTGGGCCTGAATTGAGCAAAACGTTGAGAGTGACAGGGCAAAGTCAGTGGGGATTTAGTGGGATAAAAAACTGTGAGTGATGGTTTGAGCATTTCATCTTCAGGTTCAGTAAACTGTGTAGTCAGGAAACGTCTAGAACGGTTCGCAGGATTTGCGAGGTGTAATACTGCGGAGTGTGATATCTGATTTAAAATTAACAAAGCACAGTTCTCATTTAGAAAAATGTAGCAGAGATATCTTGATGAGCTCAGGTTTTGTTGCTTTTTAGCCTTTATTAACACTGTTGCATTGTCAAGTTCTTCAGAGCCTTGTACTGGTAAATGAAAGCCAAGAACTCTATTGGAGTGTGAGCAGAAACATCTAGCTGTATAGAACAGGAAGGAAGTGGTCAGATGGTGAGAACACAGATAGGCTTCTAAGATCCTTTATATATTTAATAAACAGATTCTACTGTAAGGAAAAAAAATTGTAAAATACAAAACAAATTACTCTCTTTTTACTCACAGAGACTCTTAAATACTGATTGGACATTGATTTGATACTTTTGAATTTATATTTCTTTTTTATCTTGCTAAAACAAGATAAAATCTTGTATCTTTTAATACAATGAACAGGGTTCCTTTTTAAAGTACAAAGCTGGGCTGTTTCCATCCTCACTTTGAAACTGAGGGCATTTGGAATATGTTGTTAATACTGCTGATGATTCAGAACCTGTGCCAAATGTGCGTTAATATTGTTGCACCAAGTACGAGTTTATGTACTTTGGCATGGATTTTCTTGTTTCATTATAACATGCTTTTTTTTTTTTTTTAATATGTACACACAGCATTTTGCTGTGTATGTTTGGCAGGTATCTTTTTAGGCTAAAGTAAAGTAAGGCTCTTTTCACAGCTGATAGCTCCTCCCATGTTACTATTCCAGAGTTTTGGGCTGGGGAGTGAAGGGAAGGGTTTTCCATAACAAAAGACCCTTTACTCCCAGCAGTCAGACCCCCTTGTCCTCATCACCTTCAGTCATAACAACATGGAAGCAAGTAGGATAGAATGACTACAACCCTCTTACAATTGTTTAAGACACATGGCCTACTCTTTCAGAATTGGCAGCCAGCGGTTATAAATTTCAGGTTGAGTATGCTGTGAGAGCTGCGAGAATATATAAACTATCAGGTGCTCAGTGCTGTTATATACTCACTACTGTTACCTAAAACTTTTTCTTCCACCAGGGTCTCTGTAACTGTACCTCATTTCTAAAGCTAAATTTATTTTGTTACAGTATGCGATCCAGTGATGGGTGACAAATGGAATGGAGAAGGTTCTATGGTTAGTACTTATCTGTTTGGATTGTCTGTATAGTGAATGTTTGCTATATAAAGATGTATAAAGATTTATTAATTTATAAGCACCAAAACTAAGCTACTTTACCTAAGTGTGGCTTTGGATCCCAGCATCAAGTAAGTTTGCACTTTAATTTCCCATATTTGAATTACTTTAGAATCTGGGAAGAATGATGGCTGCATAGCCCTGGGATTATTTCTAACTCTCTTCTGAGACAAGTGGAATACAGGCCCTGTCTGCAGGAAAGTATCCCACTGGAGTTCCCTCATCTTCTGTCAAGAGCTCTGTTTTGGCTGGTAGCCTGGCTGGCATTGTCAGTGATGATGTGGATTGACACACCACTTAAATGCATTTACCACAATGTAAATGCAGATGACTTTTTTTTGTGTGAGATCCAACAGCTGTTAGACATTATCAGTGACAGAAAGGTTCTATGTGCTGATACCAGCCTGCATACTGACAAAGAAACATTCCTTTTTGATGAAAACCAGCAAATAATTTCAGTAAAAATGCAATGTGGGAAGACATCAGCATAATGAGATTTCACGTTTTCTTCTGCCTTAGCTAGTCAAGCACTATGAATTCCTCTTTGTCTTTGTACTTTTTTACAGTTTAGTTGCTTATAAAACACTTGGTAATAGATTTGCCATTGCTTTTGTGTTCTATTCTTTCATTTTGTGTCCATTGTAATATTTACTGTCCTTGGCTTTTTCCAACAAGGCAAAGATCTAACAGCTGTAGAGTCACCTTGCAAAACTTTAGCTTTTGGGAGAAATCATAACCATGGGTCTCCCCTTGTCTTTTGGGTGGAAGATAGGGTAGGTAGATAGAAGAAGTGCAGAATATCTAACATGCAACCCACCAACTCATTCCTGCCATAAAAAGTAATAAAATTGTTATTTAAAATACCTTGGTTTAGATGTGACCTAGTCTTGCATTTCTGTCTAAAGGCGGAGTTGCTGTGACATCATTGCTTCACCATAGCTGTGTGAATGAGCTCAGTATCGGTATGAGGGTTGTTCTGGTAGCACTTAGTGGTCAATGCCGTGGTGGGGTTGTACCTGTTGCTGATAGAGTTGGAATGGGAGACAGTAACACATGGGCACATGTGTACATGCATCCCTCCTGTGTATCTTATGAGACTAACAGAGAAAATAAAACATGGACAAAAGAGGGTATTAATCCTGATTTAGCAAATGGAGTTCTGCCAAAGAATATCAGCTACTAGTAAACAATGAACTTAAATAAAAGGTTTTGTTAAATTGAATTACAGTAGGACTCAGAAAGGTGAGGTGACCCCTGTACCCATCTAACCTGGACTCCTAGCTGACCTCCAGGATGTACAGCTGCTGCTTTTCAGCTTTGAGTCTGAAGAGCATACAGGCTGGTGGGCTCCTGCCAAGGCTGCTTAGGCAAACAATCTGATGGGCTGTGTTTAGCTGCTGGAGGTGGGACAGAGATGGATCAGACAGGCAGAAAGGGGAGCATTGGCCCTCATTACTTCAAGAGCTGATTCTGCAGGCAGTGAAGTATGCTAGCGCTTTGTTAGGCTTGGGTGCAACACAAAAGTATTTTTAATGTCCTTACTGGAACTGCTTTGTAAATTAAGTTGTACCAAACAAATTACAAATCTGATTCCTGTTCACACGTGCTGATGTACACCCTAGAAATACTGCACTGAAAGAAGGAGGCAAAATGACGCATAGCATGGATGTTACTTGTTCCTAAGCCCCACAATGCAACACAATCAACGTGGGCACACGCTGCTGCAGCAAAGTGCCTCTGTACTGTCGGTACAACAAAGTAGTTTCTTTTGGAGGCAGGGACATGAGAAAGGGTTCCCCGTGTTGGGACTCTGCATTTCCACATGCTGCTGTGTCACCTTGGTGAGAAGGAATCTGAAAGTTCTTCATCCAGCTACCACTTCCTTTTAATGCTGCCAGTTAGGCCTGTCTGCTGAGCGGTGCTTGCCATCACCTTCAGTGAAAGAAGGGCTGTTGGTTGTGCTGTCACCAGCTGGAGGATGCACTGTCACTTTAGTCACTGCAGCATAAGAGTACA